TCATTGTAACGGCAGTCAGGAAGAACTGTTGTACACGACTGATGAATTCATTAACACTCCTCTTCTCCCTGTCGTAAATGAGAAAATCTTAGGCGCACAGTAAAAACATGTTGCCACGGCCCCCAAAGGCCATCCAGAGCGTTAAAACAGTCAGTCAGGGATGTGCTTTCGTACCAACGTAACGTATCAAAATGCCGTTGAGCTTCTGCACCCAGGTGTTGTCTCAGTAGTTTGATAGACTGGGTTTCACTAAGTTTGATGTGAGGGATACAACTGTGAAACGCTCAAAGTACTCACAGTAAGTTTGTTTCCAACAATTCCATACTGCTAAGGATGGCTTGGATGATGTCCTACCAAAAGTGATCAGACTGGGTAAGATGGCTCATAGTTATTTATTACAAGTTTAGCCGTCGTCGTCAAAATGTCACAGTTTAGCAACTGCGGAACTAACGCACAATGGCTGGCTCTTAGCCGAAATATTACAAAGCAAAACACATCAAGTACACTGAAGACAAAACTGTATTCTAATCGGCATGTTGTATAACGCGTTGATCCACTATTTTAAACTAAGCCAATCGATAAGTGAGTGAACGGGTTACTGATGCACGCCAGCGGATACACGCAACGAATAGAATGGGGTCAGCACATTGGCCATGAGGATGCCACACGAGTGCCAGGCGAAACTCACTACCTCCCGAAAAACTGCTGCCGAACCATTTGCTGGAATGGGATAAACCCGAACCACCCAGCTGACACCATGTGGAGGTTTCTCGGCAAATCATACAGCAAAGTCCGAGACTTGAACATGGACACCTAGAACGAGACTTATGTATTACACAAGCATTTTGTGAATAGAGTACCGCGGAGAAGCATTGCTAGCCGAGCGCTTAAGAAGTTGGTAACTTGAGATACGTGATTAATTTATCTACCCGCAACGACAGCGATGAGCGTGTAATTGTTGAAGTTGCCGAAGAATTGTGAGGGTTAGAATTATTTTCATGAAACTAAACCGTTGGGGTTAGGATGGTGTCCGCTGGTCCAAGAGCTCTGTCTGCACGAGTGACCAAAAAGTGTCCGCCGGAGCTCCGTGAGTGACCAATTTCTGTGCCCCGGCCGTCCCAATTGGACATGACTTTCGTCATTGGCTCATTCATGCAGTGTTCCCTTAGGCAATTTCACGGTGTAGGCGTTGAGGTTCTGTCTGATGACAGATTAGTTGATCTTGATTATGCGAACGATACCGTCTTGCTTTTCGACGATATTGCGGCGGCACAATCAACAATGAATAGCCTCACTAGAGTGCTCCCATTATTTTGTATGCGTTTCGCACCTTTAAAGTGACAACTGCTGCTGCAGGATCACCAGCCACTTGATGATCCTTTGACCCTTGATAACGAGGAATTCCAGCTGGTTGACTGATTCACTTACCTCAATAGCTGCATCAGCAAGGATGGGCGCAAAGAAACTGAAGCCTTGCAAAAGCAAAAACTGTCTTCTTGAACCTGCGATATTTTTGGCGACAGAAGGGAGTTTCCCTCCGTCTGAAAGGCAATGTATACAAGGTCACAGTGAAGGCCGTTCTACTCTATGGTAGTGAAAATTGACCCCTTCGGTCTGAAGATCTGAGGCATCTTCAAGTCCTTGATCATCACTGTTTGCGACGCACTGCGGGTGTCGGATGGCACCAGCCTGTCCGCAACCATGATGTGCGTAGGCGAGCACTAGGTGGTGATAATCATGCTAACTCGTTAGAACAACAGATAGCACTGAATAAGTTGCGTTGGCTTGGACACGTGCTACATATGCCTGGTCACCACTTACCTAGGTGGGCCTTGTTTAGTCTGCCAGGTGTAGGATGGCGCAAGACTCGAGGTAGACAGAAGTTGACTTGGCAGTGGCGCGTCTGCTGCTGTCTCCTAGTTGGATTGTCTGTTTAAAGTGTGTTTGGTGCTGAGTTAGCTGCGGGGTAATGGATGTTTATGACGGAAGTCAGTGAAAGTCGCAAGGAATCTGTTTCGCTGATGCCGCCTTATCATTGCACGATATCCGGCTGTTTGTGATGGCATGCTGTTAACACAAGGTGTAGGCGCCTTGACCTGAATGTTTGCTTAGGGCAATAATGTTTCATATAATCCCCCTTTCTCTCCCTTTTATTATTTATTCCTTAAATCACCATTGTTGTATGACAGCGAAGCTTCAGTCCAAATGACTGATGTACTGCTGTTGTTGATGATGGTGGTCAGGAACGATGTTTTTTCCAACGGACCCTTACCATGTACCTTGAATGAATTTTTCCTTGTTGGGAATACCGTCAATATTGAGCAGAAATCGATTTCCAAATTGTACTTAGATAATCTAATAGCTATTAAGCTAAACCGAAAATGTTTTCGAGTGATCAAGAAGTATCCAATTGGGGCAACGGGGGCATGAAAGTTGGTCGATCAGGAAGCTAGAATGGTCACCCGCCGGAGTGAAATTGCGATTTTCGTAAAAGATAGTGCCTTTTAGGCAAAGAACGGAGGTTCTAAATATGTACAATCTTATTTAACGGAATGTCTGGACAGATCACGCCATTTATGTTCATAGGTTTTTGCCTCTTCGAGTGATCAAAAGCATGCCCATGGCTGGCCATGAATTTGTGTGGACACGGAAGTCACGTATATGTAAATGCAGTGAGGACAGCGTTTCCAGCAAGTTCCTAAATCAACAAACAAGATTAAATGCCCTGCTTTGGCTCGGGGACGTTAGGTATAATCATCCACGATTTACAAAAGACGAACTGGTTTCCTGTATCAGATTCTGCATGGGGTGTGATTCGATTAGGCAGCAACATGCCTGGTAAAGAAGCTGCCGGCCAGTAGGTTGGGTGCCGTCAAACATTCAAACAGGGAGCACATGCGAGTCGTTGTGTGTAAAATGCTTTTAAACAGTGGCGCGCAACCGGTAACAGTTACCTAGTTGATGCCATCTCTGCGCCTGTTTAAAGTGTGCACGGTGCTGAGTTAGCTGTGGCGTTACGTTGATTAGGTGTCACGATGGAAGCTACAATGGATGTGTCAGGATGCCAGCATATTTCTGCAGAATAGTCATATGCTTGTGACCGTGCACTACTGGCAACTTGCGAGCGCTGCTGTACTAAATAACGAGTAGGTTGCTCAAGTATTGGCCCCATTCTTTCCGATATAAAGCATTGGTGCACCAGGGGTGACGACATACAAGCAGAAAAATAAGAAGGAAGATCTGTGTGTATTACGCCAAAGTGTGCATAGAGATAAGCGCAAAATGGCACTTACCAGACGGAGTCCGTTGAATTGCACTTGGACTGCAACTCTGAAATGCAGATAGGGGGTCAGTGAAAAACATGAAGGAATGAGTAGGTCGTAAGTACCAAGAAACAGTGACGAGGATGGGAAATGTTTCGTCTTCGTAGCTGTGCACAGAGCCGTGAGTAGTGCTGGTAGGCCAAGTATAATAAAAAATATAACCACCAACTTTACACCATAACGGCGCTTCGCCGTTGCGCGAGCACCAGTAGTCGCGCGTGGGCTGAGTATACCGCGAGGATGCCCGCCCCTACCCAGATTCGAACCGATGACCTTCTGATTGCAAACTAGGTGTGCAGACCACTCGGCCACCGGCCAACCACATATCGATTCGCAGGAGCGGGTACAAATGACAATGACAGTACGATCAAACCAAGTGCTGAACTGTTAGATACCCAACAGTACAATCGGAGATATGACGGGAAAGATACAAACGATGCGGTGATGGATTACTGGAGTAAATCAAAGAAACAGAAAACGTTGCAAGGCGTAGGGAACCATATATGTACCCCACCGTCTGAAATGAGCACGAAGACGGAGACCAGCGGAAGATGGGGCGCAGTTTAAGACACGTCGGTCACAATCCACTACTGAGCATTTCGGAGTTTCTTTCGGAAGGCGTCTTAACAAGGTGACAAAAAGAAACTGATAGGCAATGTGCTAATTAAGGTTTAACGAAAAGGTTGAAAGGTAAAGAAGAAATAAATGCACTTGCACATGGTTTTGCAAGTATAAGGATGAAGTTTATCGAATGTGAATGTTAGTACAGATCCCTCAAAGAGCTTACAACACAAACGGCTGCAGTAAACAAAGTAACAAAAGCTTTAACTCAAAGAAGAGTACAATGGTTTAAATTGATGTTGAATTTAGACATTCACTTCTACGTCGAAGTGTTTACTTATGACTAATGCAATTTCTGCGGGGAAGCACACAAACGTGGCTTTGCTGGTCTGACTACAACCGGTCCAGTAGGTGCGCCATGTGAGGTGAGCAATTGAAAACCAAAAGAAACGGGAATAATAGATTGACGGTTTCTTAAAATAACCCTGGACACTTTACAGACGTAACCTGATGTGTGCTGGTTCGGGGTACTTGCGTCAAATGTTGCCGAACGAAACAATGATGATAGACACAACAAGTAAGTCCGTCTCTACAGAATGATAAAGAAGCTAGTTATATTGGGACAGTCGTTACGTTACAGCAGAACTATCTCGAATTGAATCTCATCGATGACGGTGGCGAATTGAACGATCCAGATGAAATCCGAAACCCCGGACAAAAATGGTGCCAGCAGGAAGGCAGAATCGTTACTTGATTGATTTAATGGTCTAGCCGAGGTAACCGAGTACGGATCGGATGACTGGTCTTCTAAGCCATTGTCTCATCAAAGGACCTACCTGAACCAGAAATTCGGAAGAGTTGGAACAACTGGCGACTGTCTTCAGTGACACCGAACAGTCACCCCTGAGACCCCCAAGTGAGAGTAGGGCTCATGCTGTCGAGGCTGCATAACTCCTAGACTCATACTTCGTGCGAAATATGGCAGCCGAAGGTTAAGAAAGGCAAACAATAGTTCAAATCCTTAAACGGGGCTGCCCAACGTCTTCTACACAGTGCACTGAAGGTGATCGCAATCGGTATTCAGCTCATTTACCTCGCTCGTTGGTGACGGCTGACGCCCCAACTCAAATCTGTAGTAGATTCGTGGCCTCTAGGTTCATGCAGTCTGAAGGTTTAAAAGCTTTTCAATACCTAGGGAGTAAGCGTACCACGGTAAGACGGGTCCCCCACGGACCCTAGATGAAACAAGTGTTGTAGTGGTGAGCCCCATCGGTAACATAGTGATGCGGCAAAATGCAGCTCTAGGGCAGTTCGTTGTATGGTATTGCTAGGTAACTGGATACGAACGCTTGATATGTATCTGATGTGTAAGGAAGCAAGAGCCGATTTCAGTGTGGAGAGTACAAGTTCCAAAGGGCCCTCCCGGGCGACGCCGTTGAATCAATGGATAATACATCTGAGAAGTCGAATTGCCAGCGACAAGTAAAAACAGAATGCCATTTCTGGAACACGGGACCAGTAAGGTACTCATTGGATGGTGGCAAAAGTTGGCGAAAAAGAAGCAAACCGTTCGAATTTTCCTACTTGGTTTTGCTTGCCATAGACATGTGGTAGCTACGGTGACACGAATACTAATAACTGTCCACAAGGTAAGATAGCGACTGAAAATGAGCTTAGGTTCAGCGATTTGAACTGATGCTTCGCTACCATACAACCATGACGACCTACAAAACAAATAAGAGGGAGAGAAGGGGACTTACCGGAAAACCTTAATGCCCATAGCAAACACTCAGGTCAAGGCGCCTACACCTTGTGTTAACAGCATTCCATCACAAACAGATGGATATCGTACAATGATAAGGCGGCATCGGCGAAACAGATTCCTTGCGACTTTCACGGACCCGCCTCATAATCAGTCATTACCCCGCAGATGACTCAGCACCAAACACACTTTAAACAGACAATCCAACTAGGAGACAGCAGCAGACGCGCCATGTCCTGTAAAGTCTCGAGCTAAACACAAAGCGAGTCATGTGGACTCCAGCCCGCAAGTCGAGACGGACTAACGGCACCCAGTTTCGTCGTCAGTGACTTCCGTTCCCACTGCCAAGTCAACTTCTGTCTACCTCGAGTCTTGCGCCATCCTACACCTGGCAGACTAAACAAGGCCCACCTAGGTAAGTGGTGACCAGGCATATGTAACACGTGTCCAAGCCAACGCAACTTATTCAGTGCTATCTGTTGTTCTAACGAGCTAGCATGATTATAACCACCTAGTGCTAGCCTACGCACATCATCGTTGCGAACATGCTGGTGCCACCCGACTTCAGCAATGCCTCGCAGACAACGATGATCAAAGACTTGAAGACGCCTCAGATCTTCTGACCGAAGTGGCCAAGTCTCACTACCATAGAGCAGAACGGCCATTCCCTCTGAACTTGTATACACGGCCTTTCAGAAGGAGGGAAACTCCCTTCTGTCGCCAAAGATGTCGCAGGTTAAAGACAGCTCTGCGTTTTGCAATGCGTGAACCGACCTCAGTTTCTATGCGTCCATCGTTGCTAATGCAGCTGCCAAAATAAGTGAAATGTTCAACCACCTCGATGTGCTCTTTAGTAAGCGGCAAGGGATCAGCAAGTGGCTGGTGGTCCGACAACAGCACTTTGAAGGTGCGAAGTGCATACCAAATAATGGGACCAATCTAGACAGGCTATTCAGGGTTGATTGTGCCGCCGCAACATCGTCGAAAAGCAAGACGATATCGTCCGCATAATCAAGATCAACTAATCTGTCACCAGGCAGAACCTCAAAGCCTACATCGTGAGATTCCGCAAGGGAACACTACATGATAGAATCCACGACGAAATTGAACAAACTTGCGGAAATCAGACAACGCTGACGAACGCCACTTGCAGTCGGAAAGGAATCCGATAGGCCACCGTAGACCCCGACGCGGTCTGTAGTGTTCAAGTATAGAGCAAGAAGGATGTTCACATATTTGGCATGATTATCACCACCTAGTACTCGCCTACGCACATCATCGTTGCGGACACGCTGGTGCCATCCGACACCAGCAATGCTTCGCAAACAACGATGATCAAAGACTTGAAGGTGCCTCAGATCTTCAAACCGAAGGGGCCAAGTTTCACCACCATAGAGCAGAACGGCCCTCACTGTGGCCTTGTATACACGGCATTTCAGAAGGAGGGAAACTCCCTTCTGTCGCCAAAGATGACGCAGGTTCAAGAAGGCAGCACTGGCCTTTGCAATGCGTGAGCTCACGTCAGTTTCTATGCGTCCATCATTGCTGATGCAGCTGCCAAGATAAGTGAATTGATCAACCACCTCGAGTTCCTCGTTAGCAAGCGTCAAGGGGCCATCAAGTGGCTGGTGGTTCTGCAGCAACACTTTGCACTTTGAAGGTGCGAAGTGCATACCAAATAATAGGGCCACTCTGGATAGGGTATTCAGGGTTGACTGTGCCGCCTCAACATTGTCGAAAAGCAAGACGATATCGTCCGCATAATCTAGATCAACTAACCTTTCACCAGGCAGCACTTCAACACCTACGTCATGAGATTCCGCAAGGGAACACTCCATGATAGAATCCACGACGAAATTGAACAAAAACGGGGAAATCGGGCAACCCTGTCGAACACCACTTGTAGTCGAAAAGCTATGCGATAGGACACCATAGACCCTGACGCGGCCTGTAGTGTTCGAGTATAGAGCACGAAGGCTGTTCACATATTTCGTGGGAACACCTATCCGCGCAAGTAATTCGAACAGAATCGATCGATCGACTGAATCGAACGCACTCTTGAAATCGAGGAACACAGCTATTGTCGGTCTGCGGTATGCGTGGCGCTGCTCTAGCACCTGCCGCAAAGTAAATATATGGTCTATACAGCCACGTCCTGGGCGAAAACCGGACTGCTCTTCCCTAATCTGAGATTCCCGTTCTGCAGTGAGGCGACGAACGATAATCGAGGCCAGTAATTTTGTCACAACTGGCGTTAGGCTAATACCTCTGTGGTTTGAACAGTCTGTGCGACTGCCCTTCTTGCATATTGCCACTATAATCGATTCGCTCCAATTAGCCGGCACACTTCGTTCCAGATACAATCGAATAGGGAGGTCAGTGAACTGCAGAGGACCTCACCTCCATCTTTAAATAGTGCAGGTGGGAGGGAATCCGGGCCAGCGGCACGAAAACGATAAAGGGCTGTGATCGCGTTTCGGACCTAGGCCTCCGACGGAGGCTCCAAGCTAACCGTCCATGGCACGTCCTGAATCACCTGAGTAGGAAGAGGTCCGGGAGCAGGGGGCCAGCTGAACTGATCTTGCAAGTGTACAGCCCAACGAGCCATACGACGCACCTTATTGTGTATCAGCGCACCCGCGCTGTCCTTGATTATCTCACTGACGCCTGGTTTTCTGAAACCAGTGGTGCGGATTAGCTGGAAGAGCTTGCGGCAATTTCCTACTGCTCCTGCCTCCTCCATTTCTTGAGCCCGACTGGTCCACCAGGCTTCCTTGTCAGCACTCAGCCTCTGCTTGTTTTCACGCCTAATAGCCCGTCTGGTCACATTGTGTTCAGAAACAGCCGGGAGGTGTCTTCTAGCTTCCAACAGGTTCACGGACCTCTCGGATATCTAGTGACTGGTGCGGTGACGACTGATAGTGCCACAAACAGATGCTCCTGCGTCGTGAATAGCGGCCGAGATTCTATTCCACTGAAGTTCAGTGTCATTGGGACAAGATAGCGAGAGTTCGCTATGCAGTGCTTCTTGATAGGCTTGTCTGACAGAGGGCTGGGACAATTTCTCCGTTGCAAATCGGAGGGGACGCTTTGTGCGCCTTCCGGTAAAGTTCATGGAGAAACGACAGCGCACCAAGGCATGGTCAGAGTCGACACAGGTACTCCAGTACGAGCGGCAATCCAGAATGGAACCGCGCCACCTGTAACTTATGGCTGTGGTCAATTTGGGTCCATCGCTGGCCAGCTACAGGTGGACGCCAAGTGGCACTTCGGCGCCCACTGTGTCTAAAAGCAGTGCTACTAAGAAACAACTAGTGCTCCGCACAGAGTTGCAGCAGACGCTCGCCGTTGTCAGTCAGTTCGGCGTTAAGTCCATATTTACCACCCAGCTGAGCTTCTGAAGAGCTCAGACGCCCTACTTGTGCGTTCATATCCCCTGCAAGTACTATAATATCTGAACTAGTAGGACAGCGTAGCAGTGTGTTCAGTTCGTGATAGAAAGTGTCCTTGACTGCATTAGAACTGCAGTCCGTGGGAGCATAAGCAGAAATCACAAACAAACAGCGTTTTGTTTTACTTCGCAAATTCACCTTAGCTGATGTCGTCAAACGGGCTGCACATAAACGGCTGTTCACCGGAATCAAATCAACCAACGATGACTCAGCCTTGCAGCTGAGAATGATACCTACACCAGCTTGACCCGTGAGTGCCGCATCGGCGTCTCCGGATGCGTGCAACCAATAACGAGAGGATAAGCCGGGTGCAGTCAATTCAATAACCCCGTTAGGGTCATTAATCCTAGTTTCGGACACACAACACACATCAACACCCAGTGTGTCCAAGGTGCGTGCGAGTGCAGCCTGCTGACCTGTTTGTCTTAGAGTGCGGACGTTGAATATCGCCATGGAAACGGGACAGCGTGGCCTTATAAGGAACTTTTGCCGATAGACGTCCGATAGGTGCTGTGGGATGGTGGCTGCAGACGGTACTACTCCAGTAGCACTTCGGTTGCTGTCAATTAAGCAGGGAATTATAGAAGGAAGGTTAGTAATATGGGCCGGGATGGGAGTAAGAGAAAAAGGTGGAAAAGAAAAAAGGGAGGCGCCAGCAGTAGCGTATTTTCGCTTATCCGCCCTGCTGTATGCAGCAGATAAGGCGACCCTTGATAATCTGCGCGACGGCCGATGCAGGATGAAGTTTATGTTTGAAGAAAATGTCATGGTTGTATGTGGGGTGAGATACTGCCAGGACGCCCAGACCTAGACAGGGGAACGATTACGGTTCTCATCCAAAGCCTTTGGCTCAAAAGCCTGTCCGCAAGGCAGCGGGGTGGCAGTGATATCGTTTTACAGAAATGGACGCCATCCCATTTCAAACCCCCCATCTAAAGGACCAGGAGACTTTTTCTGACCTCTCACCATTGACCAACCTGGTAGGAGTAGCTCTCAAGATGCTCGGAGGCATCACCCAGTATAGCTCAATGGGTCAATGAGGTACGCAAACCGTCGCACCAACTTAACGTCCATTCTCCGTCCGACGGCCAGTCTGGTTGCCGTGCAAAAGTTTCGAACAGAATCGATCGATCAACTGAATCGTACACACTCTTGAAATCGAGGAACACAGATTTTGTCAGTCTGCAGTATGCGTGGCGCTGCTCTAGCACCCGTCGCGAAGCGAATATGTGGTCTATGGAGCCAAGTCTTGGGTGGAAACCAGCCTGCTCTTACGTGATCCGAGATTCCCGTTCCGCAGTGAGGCGACGAACGATAATCGAGGCCAGTAATTTTGTCACAACTGGCGTTCGGCTAAAACCCCTGTGGTTACAACAGTCTGTGCGACTGCCCTTCTTGTATATTGAAACCATAATCGATTCGATCTAATTAGCCGGGACGCTTCCTTCCAGATATGTTTGAATAAGGTCTGTGCTTTGCAGAGCACCTCACCTCCATCCTTAAATGGTGCAGGTGGGTGGGAATCCAGGCCAGCGGCACGAAAACAATTGAGGGCTGTGATCGCGTATTAGACCACGGCGTCCGATGGAGGCTCTAAACAAACCGTCCATAACTCGTCCTGCATCACCTGAGTAGAAAGAGGTCCGGGAGGAGGTGGGCCAGTTGAACTGATCTTGAAAGTGTACCGCTCAAAGAACCGTACGGCGCTCCTTATGGTATATCAGTGAACCCGCGCTGTCTGATTGTCTAACTGACGCCTGGTTTCCTGGGACTAGTAGTCGGATTAGCTGGAAGAGCTTGCGGTAATTGCCTACTGCTTCTGACTGCTCCATTGCATGAGCCTGAGTGGTCCACTAGACTTCATTGTCAGTAAAGTAGACTCCGCTTTATTTCGCGCCTAATAGACCGTTAAAGTGGCTCCCCAATAATTCATGATCTAAAAACGAGAAAACGGTAATTTGGTTTCTGCGAAGATAAAGTGGAAGACTGAATTCAACATGGAAAGCAGGTGACGTAATTCGGATATAGTGATGGTAACACTGCCAAAATGAAGTGCCGGAAACTGTGCGAAATGAACAGATAATAGTCTATGGCTATCAGTCAAGTGCTTATTACAAGTAGAGCGAAGGCAGTGCATAAGTTAAATAGGGGCACAATGTTCATCACGAGGCCTTAAAGAACGACGCTGCAGTGAAGCAATGAGTCAGTACGTGTTGTCACAAAAGCACTGCTGTTGGTCAGACAATCCCGTAAGGTTAGCAGTTGATATTTCCGTTCGCCTAATATTGAAACCCTGGCAAAACAAGAGTGAACTATAAGGGGGCAATCTCGGAGATTGGGCTGCATTCCAGAAAACAGTGGACTGAAGTGAATAGACAAAGATATACAAGTGGTAAGGGGCGGCTGAGTAAACTAGATGGAAACTAACACCGAATAAAAATACTGATATGTCATGAGAAAGGATACAAAAATAAACACGGTGGGCAGCGTACTATAAGTTTGGTTCAGGATTTATGTGAGGCCGGAGTGTCGAGTGATGATATAACAGCTTGGGAAATGGTGAGGAAGATAAAAACAAGGCTAACTTTCATGAGTCAAAATGATGACACAATTTATGTTGTTTTGGTCCATGTATAAGTTATTAAACACAAGCAAGAGAGTAAGCAGAACAGAAGCGAAGCGAGTCCCTCCGATAAGCATGGATTTAACAGAAGATCTGAAGGGCACAGTTTATGATGCAGCACTTCGTTCAACCCGACTGTATGCATGCGAAACCTGGCCCATCAGGTCAACAGACAAAGAAGCTAGTCACATCCGCCCATCCCTGTCTTTGCAGCTTAGTGTGTTTGGTAAGAGCAGCGCGTGAGCAATGAGCGTGTTTGGCGACGTGTATTTGGTGCAGGAAAGCGAGTGAACAACACAGCACACGCACCAGACCCAGATGGCTAGGCCACACGTTGCGCATGCCAGGCAACCAATTCCCGCGACGTGCATGATTTGCGCGTCGGGGTGTGGATGGAAGGAGATAACTTGGTCGAGGGAGATGAAATCCCTCTCTTCTAAGTTGGCGTCAGTTGGTGTTTCCCGACAGTCTCGCTAGGGTCTGCAGGACGATGAGCATGTCTAGTTGGATACATTAACTGGTATAACAAGTAGCCAAACTTAAGGGGGTTTGTGTGTCTTTTCCTTTATACCTGCTCATCCTGCCTATTTTGCTGTCCCAACCAGGAGTATTTTGATACACAATATATCACTAAGTAATCTGTCGCGTTTTTCATGCTAGTATATTCGGTATCTTACTTTTTCCTATAACATCTTTAAGTATTGCGGCGCAATAGCTGAAGTGTGTTTCTCACCCGCTAATGTGAATATGCTGACTGGCAACCATAATGATGAGTTCCCAAATTCGAAAAACATGTAATCACCTGCGCCTCTATTATTTGTAAACGCGTCGCCGTAGCCGTCCAGAGCAGCTGGGCTATTCGCGTCTAGCATCCTTTTGTGGTTCCTCTTCGTTCGTCTCCTTCTTGTAGATAAGGGAGAACCATCGAACGTGTCCTGAATTTTATCCACAAACTTGAAACTCGTGCATGTTCTTTGGGAAGAAGACAAACCAAAACTAATTGGTCTAGATTGCGTTAGCGACGGAAAATCTTCTAATTTGCACGAAGCTTCCGATTTGTGCCCATCGGCAAGAAGGAGAAAAGAATGAAGCTTTAGTTGGGCACTGGGACTGGTTATCATGATTCTCATAAGAATCACCAGTCTCCTGGAGAAGTTTAGAAAATCCGTCCTGTGAATAACAGGCAATTAGGTTTGCTAGAGTTCGCTAGCCGGAATCCAGGGTCAGAAAGCCATCAGCTGACTTCATCGAACAAACGCACAAAGCATATGAAAGTCACATTTTGGCTTTTTGATTAATTAAAACAGGGGTTTTGTTATGAACGGGAAAGCTTATTTGAAGCGCACTAGAGAAATACGTATAAGAATTTACTGATGAACATAGAACGCTTATTTATTGTCACGTTAAAAAGTTTGCATTTGTGAAAATGATAAACCACTGTAACAAGACCCGTTGCAGTAATATTTCCTTTGAGCAATCGACGAGCATTGTACGAACTACTACCTTTGAGCTAACCAGGTTTTTATATAAACTCTCCCAACGAAGACCAAAGGTTTTGTTATCCTGAGCTTCTACAACTAAAGCAAACTCCCTAACTTCCGGGAAAGTACCAGACCCAAAATCCCAATACGCGTATGTGGAGGATAACATTACAATGTGTACTATCATCGGCAGTAGATCTTAAGTTACAGTAACAGAATTAAAACCTTTGACATGAACATACGACCTTCACCCGGTACTTCAAACTTTTAGCGAGTGGCATGGACCTTGTCTAGTGCGTGAGTGGCGGGAACTTAAACTTGTCGGTGAAACCCATGTATGTCCTAGTTATCATTATTAAACTATAAAGTCTAAGCATCTTATATTAGGCTGATTAATTGTTCTTATTCACTAACCTCTTTTCGAGGATGGTGTAAGTCTTCTCATCAAAGAGTAACTAATAGTGTTAGTGTCATAGTATAACCATAGCTATAATTTTTAACTTTAGCTACATGAGCAGTTTCGTTAACAACATTTAGTTTGGAGTATAGGTTTGTAGTGGTGGCTAAATGGGAGCTGAAAGCCATGGTAGTTTACTTAAGCAGGCTAACTAACTAAACAAAGGATCGAAAAATGATGAATTAATTGCCAAATACAGCTTTGACACGATTATTAACAGCAGTGCGAGGTTCCGTAGTATCTTACTTTTTATACCAAGCAAGCTTGAGTTACTAAATTGCCAGAGAATTTCTTGCTTTTCCGTAATACTAGTTTGTAGTGGTTGTTGTTCTGTTTGTTACTGTTGTTGTTGTTGTTGTTGTCGTTGTCGTTGTTGTTTGCTTAGCTTTGCATATATTATGGTTGCAGTGGAGAAATGTAAACAGGAACAGTGGTAAACTAAATCTGAAAATGGCTAGCTTCGTCAGGCTGTTTAGGATGATTCGTGTAAATATATTAGTTTCAACTAAGGACACTTAAGTGAAACGTGTATCTGTGACTGCAATATATCATCCACTTAACAGTCAAAGGATCTTAGTATACCGATATTAGTAGGCGGTCATGGAGAACAATGCTTAACTGTGTTTTACCCTCATTTATGAGCGGGAGAACCCCAATATGCTATAAGTTATGAAACTAAAAAGTAAATAATTTAGTCTCGACTAAGCGTGGCAGCATTTGGATCTGGTCAGAATAGTGCAAGGTTGTACATGCTAGTAAAATTGGCCGGACCACGGGCAGGAATAAGAGAGATGTAGTCATTATTGTAGGTTAACATGGCACAGCAATGAATGAAAACCATCCTCGCAGGGTACGAGACGGGAACATAAGTATTACAGTGATCATTGAAGTGGTGAATGTTAGTAAGTAACTGGTCCGATGAGGTTGTGAACACAGTGCGGTTCTGGCGAGTGAAGCATGAGGTAACAGCCATGAAAGTTTCAAGAGTAGTGGCAGGTCAATGAGCAAAATTGTAGTCGTGTGAGAGCACGTGTATGCACAGAACATAGGAAATGTGCCACCGGTCATCATGCCAATGGGTGGTTGGTGTAGTGAACTTAATACACGACAAGGCAAATCCCCCAATTCCCAGTGCCTTTTAACGGGCATGCTGAGGTTTGTAGGGAGAACGCTTTCCAGGCGAAAAACCACCGCGTCCTGGAACAATGCCGAAACGTGATATGACATTGACAATGTTGCATCTGGCCGACTGTGCACGCGGTTAGTCGTAGCCATGTTTTGCCAGTTGGATTCCGAAAGATCAGCGGTTGGCTTTTTCGGAGTCAACAGCGTCGGATTAAAGCTTTTGGAGTCGAACGCAGCGGTTGAACAGTATTCAGTAGCTTAACTTCCTGGTTTCCTTTTGTGTCATGGTTGTGAAGCGCCGACGACTTCAATGGTTTGCGTTGTTTTTGAGGCCGGTAGTTGGCGTAAGTACCATTCCGGCGGTGTTTCGTGCAGCTTATAATATCCTTAGGAAGCGGGACGTAAAGAAAAGCGCGACCAAGCAAACTGGCAATAATATTGAACGGGACTTCGTTAACATACGAATAGCAATTTTGTGGTAATGGTGTGGTGGTTAAAAGCAATGGAATGCCCGAAATGGTTATCCAGCAGATCTGTTACTTTGCGTGTAAGTACGGAACTTGCTATTTTTGAATACGAGAACCAAAGGCTCTCCGAATGGGCCTAACCTAAGAAACAGTTGCACTGTGTAATAACCGACGTGTCAGGCGTTGTTAAAAGTGAATAAATTGAGGAGTTCAGAAGAGCATAACAAGTAGTGAAATATGCAACCAGGATGTCAATTGAGCGCACGGTAGCCAGCGGATAAGATAAGGGGCCAACGCTGAAAATAGGCCAGTGGAGCTGGTAGGCCGGCCTAGAGGCGACTGAGAAGAAAAATGGAACAAAGTTGAATTTAAGGAAACCGCCCTGAGTTCGATTGGGCATGCAAACTCTATTGAGAATTCTCTTCACTTTGAGGTATAGTTTGCTCCTTCCGATGGCGAGGGCTGCTAAAGTTGTGTTCAAAGCGCCAGCAGCAAATTACTAGGGGATGAGTTCTCACCATTTCACGATATGCAAACCAAACCGAAACCGCGGTCGTGGAGCGCCAGCGTAGGGAGAAGCAACAGACAAATATTTCCACTGGTGTCTGTCGCGAGCCATGTCCTGCAAATTCTCGTGCCAAGCACAAGCCGAGTGACGTGGACACCAGCTTAGAAGTCGAGACGGCCGAACGACACCCAGTTTCGTCGTCAGTGACTTCCTTTCCCACTGCCAAGTCAACTTCTGTCTACCTCGAGTCTTGCGCCATCCTACACCTGGCAGACTAAACAAGGCCCACCTAGGTAAGTGGTGACCAGGCATATGTAACACGTGTCCAAGCCAACGCAACTTATTCAGTGCTATCTGTTGTTCTAACGATCTAGCATGATTATAGCCACCTAGTGCTCGCCTACGCACATCATGGTTGCGGACAGGCTGGTGCCTTCCGACACAGGCAGTGCGTCCCAAACAATGATTATCAACGACTTGAATACGCCCTTTAAATCTTCTGACCGAAGTGGCCAAGTCTCACTACCATAGAGCAGAACGGCCATTCCCTCTGAACTTGTATACACGGCCTTTCAGAAGGAGGGAAACTCTCATCTGTCGCCAAGGATGTCGCAGGTTAAAGAGAGCTCTGCGTTTTGCAATGCGTGAACCGACCTCAGTTTCTATGCGTCCACAGTTGTTAAGGCAGCTGCCAAGATAAGTGAAATGTTCAACCACCTCGATGTGCTCTTTAGTAAGCGGCAAGGGATTAGCAAGTGGCTGGCGGTCCGACAACAGCACTTTGAAGGTGCGAAGTGCATACCAAATAATGGGACCAATCTAGACAGGTTATTTAGGGTTGATTGTGCCGCCGCAGCATCGTCGAAAAGCAAGACGATATCGTCCGCATAATCAAAAACAACTAATCTGTCACCAGGCAGAACCTCAACGCTTACATCGTGAGATTCTGCTAGGGAACACTACATGATAGAATCCACGACGAAATTGAACAAACTTGCGGAAATCGGACAACCCTGACG